TTGCCCCAGCCTTGCCTCCCCCTGCGACCCCCTCCTCACCAGCAGCCACCCTGGAAGAGACTCGCCTACGAGCGTGGCCCATGCAGAGCAACACAGCCAAGGACATGGCAGCCAGGCAGTGTAGACAAGACTCTGCCCTCAAACCCCATCACGCACAGTTGATGCTGTGGGGTGCGGGCAGAGGGCATGGCCACCATGACATTGCTGGGCTGCCTGGGCGATCTGCGGCGGGCCCTGGAGATGGTGAGTGGCTTTGTGGGCAGGAGGGGTAGGAGCAGAGCAGGGGCGGGGCAGGGGGTGGAGTGGGGGCAGGGCCAGTTTTTGGGCACTCGATCTCTAAAAAGTTCGCCATCACTGTCCTATAAAATTTCAGACAAATGATTGTCCAGTCTCTTCTTAAAAACTTCCAGTGTTTTATGATATTTGTCATTGTGCAACTTTATTATAGAGACCAACTTGACTTTGCAACAGTCACCGTTAGATCCATCAAATTGAATAAAAGATTGTATCTTACCTATATACAGCAGTTGACCTAGTGGCATTCCTCATTTTAAAAATGCATTATAGTGAGTAGAAATCCTTATTCCCCAGTAGACTTCTGGCAACCTTACCATATTGCATCCTGTTATTTCTTCAGAACAAAATTTCATTGAGTTTTTGGAGAATTGTTAATATTCTCTTACTATAATTAAAAGATTTTTCTGCAAAAAAGTACCTTTTGATTCGTGTCAGTTTTCAAGTCACAATAAACCAATGAATTTCTAAAGTAGCTCATTTATAAAAGTATATCTCCACTATCCTTTATTATACAGAGAAATACATTATTTTATAAGATCCCTTTTAAAGGCGTGCTTTATAAATCATCTTGTAATGGTATGTGGGAAAGACTTTGGAAGACAGGGCAAAGAGGAACAGGTTAAGGAACAATCAGATGAGAGGCAGCAAATTTACCTCCCTCAGTGCAGGCACGCAACTTGGGTGTCCTCTTGGACTCACAGCTAAATCTGGAACAACATCTATCGGCTGTGGCCAGGGGGACCTTTGCACAGGTTCGCCTAGTGCACCAGTTGCGGCCTTATTTGGACCGGGAGGCTTTACTCACAGTCACTCATGCCCTTGTCACCTCAAGACTGGATTACTATAACGTGCTCTACATGGGGCTACCCTTGAAGGGCATTCGGAGGCTGCTGTTGGTTCAGAACGCAGCTGCGAGAGCGATTGTGGGCGCGCCAAGGTATGCCCACGTGTCACCTATCCTCTGCGAGCTGCACTAGCTTCCTGTGGGTCTCCGGACGCAATTCAAGGTGTTGGTTATCACCTTCAAAGCCCTTCATGGCATAGGGCCAGGTTACTTACAGGACCGCATTCTGCCGCACAGCTCCCAGAGACCGGTGAGGTCCCAGAGATTGGGCCTCCTTCAGGTCCCGTCGGCCAGACAATGTCGGCTGGCGGGCCCTCGGGGAAGGGCCTTTTCTGTGGTGGCTCCGACCTGTTGGAATCAACTTCCCCCCGAGGTTCGAACTACTCCCACCCTGCCGGCCTTTAAGAAGGCCGTTAAAACTCTCCTGTTCCGGCAGGCCTGGGGCTGATGTCCCTGGGGGGCCGGGATATGATCAGATTTGCGGTATGACTGTTTTATTTTATTGTTTTATCATTGTTTTAACTTTGTACGCCGCCCTGAGTCCTTTGGGATTGGGCGGCATATAAATATTTGAAAATAAATAAATAAATAAATAAATAAATAACCTGCAGCTATATAGTGGGCAGAGCAGTAGGCTCAGAAGAGACTTTCACTAAGTTCTCTGCTGGAAAGGTGACCACAGGATAATTATATTTTCACACTTGCAAGATTCTGTTAACATAGCATTACCATAAAGTAGAACTAGTTTACCTGGTTGTGTTTCCTGCCTGGCCTGGCCTGTTAAAGCCAATGTTAATCTTTCAAGTCTCATGCAGTCTTCCAAAGAAAGAAAATTTTGGAGTAACATCAATCCTTAAAGAAATCTATTATCTGCCTAGCACCTGGCAGCAGCATTATTGCAAAACCAGCAGCAAGTGGATATACAGATGGCTAATTTACATAATGTGACACCTGGAGTAGAATTTGCCTCAACCAGTAGCAGTGCAACCAATGGCCCTAATTTTGCTGACCATATACTTATAAGAGGGTATGTACACTTACACTGCCACATTATTCTAGTTTTTTGTTATTTTTTTCCACCACTAAACAATTATAGTTTGTTTCTCAATTGAATTTGTACAACTTATATGTTAAAGGTGGAAAAACATTCTGAAATTATTTATCTTGCTCTGATTTTTGTACATCTCAAAAACCTGGCATTTTAACGGGTGTGCAGATTTTCTATATCCACTGTAAAACCGCTGTCCCAGCTCCCAAATAATGCTTGGCAATACTCCCTTGGTTGGGGGGGGGGGAAGTGGCCTTTCTAGAGTGAAAATAGTTCTTTTCCTCTCAGCTCCTTCAGCATCTCATTGCCTTCTGCCCCTTTTTTGTGCCAACGAACACTTCAGATATGGCCATAGATGCAGTTCTACTCAAGGGGGACAGATTTACTACCATGGGCCTTTTATTCCAGACCGTTCCTCCCAGCAGAAAAGAACTATGATATTTTCAATGAAGAGTTGCTGGCTGTAAAGAAATGCCTTTCACCAATTAGTGACACCTCCTGAAAAGGATAGCCTTTTCTATGCAAGTTCATACAGACCATAAGAATTTAGAAGTTCTGCAAAACACTTAATTTCTCACTCCTCAGCAAATCAGGTGGACACAATATTTATCCTTCTTTTATTTTTACATCTCATAGGTTCCAGCTTCCCAAACAAATTTCCAGGTTCCCTCTTATGTAAGCTGGAGTATGAGTTGCCAGTCCCATATCCCCTGCAATACTACTTGAGCCATGCATCTTTGAGTTGTACCAAAAATCAGCAAACACAAAAAAGCTGGCATCAGGAAGAGAGGCTATTGATCTCTTTCATCAGGAAAGAGGAAGTGTATAAGAGGTAAATGTTGCTGGAATCTAGTCCCAGAGGGAAACTTGATGCACTGGAAAGGTTACCCCACAGTCTTTTTTTGTTTTGTTGTTAGAAGTTTCAATGAAGGCAATGTTATTTGTGTTTTCTTTTTGTTTTGTACTGTCCCAGATGCTCAGTTATTCATTGTTTCCGTTCCTCTTGTTTTTTTATTTAGAAGGTTTTGTTCTCTCTGAGGAGAATGCAGAAGAGAGGGTGCCTGATTTTGGAATGAAAACAATTCAGTAACTATACTGGCTTCCTCTACTGCTGGCTCTCCTGGTTCACCTCTATGGTGTGAGCTACTTCAGATAAGCGTTCCATTGATTTCTTTGATCTTGTAATTCTTCTAATTCAACTTCTGTGAATATTTTGTATTATAAATACACTTTGATCTGCTAGCTTCTGTTCGTTTCTTTCTGATTCTATATGTTGTTCTTTCCAGAACTGATGCTTTATCTTTAGACTTGATTTGTAATAGCAGATCATTGTTTCTTTATCAATCTTTGTATATTTGAGATGGGTATGAACATTTTCTTCTAGCAGTTCTACATCTGCTGACCCTGATTACTCAGTTATTTGTCTCGAGTCCTATAGCCCACTTATCGCCAAAATGTTCAAGAACTAATACATCTAGAATGGTGCTTGTTGACCTGGGTGACAACCAATTGAGTATAGATTTCTATAAATTACTTTTTACCGTATTATTTATGGGAGACGAACACTTCATTATTAGAGAAGCACTCCTCTTTGTGAGAGTTCCTTGTTCTCCAAGGTTTGGACACAGCATGGCATAGCAAATCTGCGCACAATTTTATATTTCAGCAAATACACTTTCAACAACACGCTATTGCTCTGATCACCTCCACCATTCTAGGACTTTGCCAGGTGATGTTGCCACATAAAGATGTCTTCAAAACTGAGCTTTTTAAGCTCAGTCTATCAATACTGATTTTACCCAAAAGTCTCAAATTCTTTTAGACTTTCAGACTTTGTTAGATCCCACTGTGTTATGTTATTTATAACTACTTTGTGTGAATCTTTTTGTACAAGCTGAAAATATGATCTTTTTGTACAAGCTTCTTTGCACAATCTGCACTTTGAATTATTTGACAATTTTTTAAATTCTGGCCTTGATTGCATTTGTTCAAATTATTAAGGTAACATCTAATAATATAAGCAATTCCAAGCAGGGTAGTTTTTTGTTAAATTAGTGTTTTCAGATCTGATAAATTCAATATTTCCAGATGTCAAGGAAGTTCTTTAGTTATCAGTCTAAGGCAGTGTTTCTCAACCTTGACAATTTTAAGGCATGTGGACTTCAACTCCCAGAATTCCACAGCCAGCAATGCTGGCTGTGGAATTCTGGGAGTTGGAAGTCCACATACCTTAAAATTGTCAAGGTTGAAAAACACTGCTCTAAGGGCTTCACAGTCACAGTTGGTATAATAACATATTTCTTTTTCCATGTGGGTTCAATTTCTATCTGCAAATCCTGGTGTTTTGTAATTGGTATAATATCATCTGTTAACAACAATGCAAAGTGTTCGCTGCCAATTCTTTAGCTGGTATCGGTCTGCATATGCATTCAGTTCTTAGGAATCTAGAATGTTGTAAACTATTGGCATAGTGTATATACAGATCTAAGCAGCGTGGCCTTTTGTAATTGACAGATGGAGAATGATGTAATAAAAATGAAATAGTCATTGCTTATCATTGGCATCTGGTTGGGCACTATCGTGACAAAATGTTGAACTAGTTGAACCTTGGCTTAATTTAATATGACTGTTATATTCTGCTGTTCTTATGCCAGGAAATTAAAAGAATGAGTTTCTTTCTAAAGTAAGGTATTTTTTCATCCATCTTGCTGTATTATTATATGGGATTAATATGTTTATCTATACATTTCTAATATCAGTATTTCCTTTTACTTTAAAAATAATATTTTTTTCCTTTTTGTTTACTTCTAGGTTGACCCCCTCTTTACAGTGCCTGCACCTCCGCCTCCTATTTCTAGTAATCTGACAGCTCAGATTCTACCTTCCTATTTTTCACCATCTTCATCCAACATTGCAGCCCCGGTGGAGCAACTTTTGGTACGGACTCGTTCAGTGGGTGTGAATACTTGTGATGTTGGAATAGTAACAGAACCTGAATGCCTTGGACCATGTGAACCTGGAACCAGTGTAAATTTGGAAGGGATTGTATGGCATGAAACTGAAGAAGGTAAGATGTTTTCTTCCATCTCTCTCTTGTTTGTAATATTGCATTTGATTTAAAAGAAATATTGCTGAAAAATAATTAAATAGTATGCTTTGTTTTGTTTCTGCTGGGAAAAGAATTTCTTAAGTTATTCTGAGTCTGAATCTAGCCATAATTTTACAAATAATCTTTTTTGCTTTTGTTGTTTTTGAAGGATGGGGTTAGGTTTTATTCTAAAATCTTGCTAAACAATTATGTTGATGATATTTTGGTATAAGGTTTAATGGCTTTTACATATGTTATCATAAGGTATGCATAGATACTCTTACAAAAGAATTATAAAATTGTGCAATCACTACATTAATATTCAAATTATTACATTTTTTTGGCATCTACAATATTCCAGTAAAACATATAAGTAACATAGATGGTTTTTACTGGATTTGCTGCAAATTTGATTAATCTCTTGTGTGCGTAGGCAAAATTTATAATTGCATGTTAGCTACTTAAATATTTTGTTTTATGTGACTTGAGAGCTTTTGGATAATTGTTTGAGAATTGGAGATTTGCAAGATAACATCAGTCAACTGCAGTTTCATATAAATATAGACTTTCTTAAAAGAATGAATAAAAATTCAAGCTACAACTTGAAAAATAAATTGAAAGTTGTTAGCAAAAAGTCTAGAACTAAAAATGAATTTGAAAGATAATTATTTTTGACAAATTAGAAGCCACGCAAAAATGTATTTTTTAATATTGATTTTCAAAAAAATTCCCTCATATGTGAACTACCTATAAATAGTAAGTACTGCACAGTTGTTATGGCCACCTATTTTGGAGGACATGGTCTGAAATATTGAGAATTATTCAAATAGATTTTTATAGATGTTTTTTTCTTTCTGTTTGAATAGTATTTAATTAGTAGTGATTTAATAGCTGGTGTAAAAAGAATGTGGTAGCTCACGAGGTTAGGACACTGGGCTGACAATTGACAGGCTTGCATTTGAGACCCAGTTACTGCTGCAGGCTGGGTGAACTCCTGTCAACGTTCCAGCTTTTGCTGACCCAGCAGTTTGAAAGCAGGTGACCGTAAGTAGATAGATGGTTATCATTTCGGTGGACACCTTAACAGGGATATGAAAGGAGCCCCTAACCAGGCATCTGTGATGTCACCATCCAATCCTTTCAACCCAGAAACACTTTGGTGCTCCTGATATGAATGTAGTAGTAATAGCCTGTGTGAACTGAAACAAAATAAGGCAATTTTAAAAGTGTACAATGCACTCCATTGATAATAAATCCTAATGTATTTTGGTTAGAAAAGATACAGCAAAGCTTGATTCTGTGGAATGGAGTATGAAACATTATCAGAGTGCATTAGCTAGGTTTGCAAAATGTTTTACACTGTGCCCTTCCACTTGTCTTCTTTGTATGTGTATCTTCATCAGATTCATAAACTAGATTGACACTTTAAGATTATTTTTTAAAGGTCACATAAGCAGTTTTAAAATACTTTAAGTGAGATAGCTGTCTATTTTGGCTTCAGTGTTCACCTTAGTGAATTTCACAGAAAATCAGAATATGTGAGAAAGAATTATAGTGACACAGAAGAGCAATGGCTTTTAATACTGTTATTTTTGCTGAGTAAGCTAAACATCTGACCCGGCAGAATTAAGAAACATCTCTTGTTAAAGATCTGGAGGTCAACAGTGTGCTATTTTATAATATTCTTCATACCTGCAAGAATGACATTTCATCTATTTTCCTTCTGTGCTCAGATATATTCAGCGGAGAAGACTTTTACTTATTGATAAAAGATAACACCTGATCTGTGCTTATAGATCCCCTGCTCCTATTGTTGGTAAAAAGAGTAGTCTATCATCCTTGTTACTTATCTCCTATTCTGATTGTGCATTTACAAATCTGGGGAATTGGTTTGGCATAAACAAGATAAAGATAAATCCACTATCTCCTAATGTCAAATGTAAAGAAATTTTAAACTTGGCATTTTTTTGACAAAACTTCTCAAATTATACTGATAATATAATGAATAACATGGAAGAGTGACATATGATACTGCTTAACTGCATAAGCTTCTTAAAATAAAAAAGGAATACTTCTGATTTTTTTTAAGCATTTACTAAATTGAATGATTACTTTGGTGCTATGTTATGGAAGACTAAATATATCTTCATCTAAACTTTTTAATTGGAAATAAATTGTTTTAATTTCATTCCTAATATGATTTTACTGTGGGACTAGGTTTAAGGTTCTTATTAATATGGTAGTAATAGAACATATTTTTTCTTGACTGGCACTTTGCATATCATTTTAAATAGTGAACCAATAGACTAGGACACTGTAAAAACTGTCATACTTGGCTAATTTAAACAGGAAAAATAATTCAGCATACAATAAGCCAAAAGCTAAAAAAATATAAATCAGCTATAAACTTGGTTTGATGACACATACATTAATACCTCGGTACTCATTTGGGATTCATTCTGGAAGGTGCGATGAGTACTAGAAACTAGAAACAAGCAAGCCACATGACTTACCATGTGACTCTTTATTTTGGATGGATGATGTAACAAGTCATTAGGTTAGCCGATGCCAGCAAATTCTACCTTGCGCATCAAATACCAGGAGAAAAATAAATACCAGAGCAAGATTTTTGCTTCAAAACTTGCCAAGTATCAAATTTGATGAGTTTTGAAGTAGTTAAATACCGAGGTATAATTGTATTTCCTAATATAAAATTAATTGTATTTATTTCCTCATTCAGTATTTTAAGAATAAGTAACGTTTAGTTGACTATATTTGATGCTCAAGGGATATGCTATATAAAAAATTATGACCAGAACAAAATTACTTAATTATTTTTTGGGACTGTCCATCTTACCACAGGGTAACTCTGAGTGGCTTGCAATACTACAAGGATAGAATTATACAAAACCTATACATAATACAAACACAATAATATAAAAATATAAATATTCAACCCTAACTGAAAGATGAAAGGGAGAGACTGAATGAACAAGGGGGAGATGGGATCTGTTATGAATCTATCAATCATCCCCAATGTGAAGTTCCCCCCCATTGGAGCCCCAGGTTAACTGGCAGAGCCAGCTCTTTAGGCAAAATTATAATTTTTAATCTTAAATTAATGTAAATTGATGTATCCAGCATCAAATATTTAACTGTACTTTAATTTTTTAAGAGATTAAAAATGTAGCCAAAATAATGCAAGAAAATAATGTAATACAACATCTATGAAAATATAAATGTGTTGTGGGGTTTTAGTAGTCATTAAGGAAAGGCCATGGTCTTCCCAGTTGCAATGTATGACTGTGAAAGTTGGACCGTGAGAAAGGCTGAGCACCAAAGAATTGAGGCCTTTGAACTATGGTGCTGGAGAAGACTCCTGCGACTCCCTTGGACTGCAAGGCATTCAAACCGGTCAATCCTAGAAGAGATCAACCCCGACTGCTCTTTAGAAGGCCAGGTCCTGAAGTTGAAACTCAAATACTTTGGCCACCTAATGAGAAGGAAGGACTCGCTGGAGAAGAGCCTGATGCTGGGAAAGATTGAGGGCAATAGAAAAAGGAGACGACAGAGAATGAGGTGGCTGGATGGAGTCACTGAAGCAGTAGGGGTGAGCTTAGATAGTAGAGGACAGGAAGACCATGGGGTCGCAATGGGTCGGACACGACTTCGCAACTAACAACAACAACTTGGAAGCCACATATAATCTAGAAGATACTTGCATTTGAATTCCGCAATGCATGAGAATGTATTTCTTTCAATAGATCAAACCATGAAATATTGCAAAAAAATTAAAATAACAATTCCTTACTTGAAAATAATTAACAATATTATTTTTTATGACAGTAATAGTAGAATTTCCCACTTAGTAGCTGTGGCTTTTGGGAAGGTAGCTTGGTTTGCTTTTGTAGGGAAAGCTTAAGAACCACACTTGGATTAATATGATGAATTGTTAATAGCCTTAGGAAATTAAAATAACTATCTTGCCTGTCCCATCTTAGACACTTTGCTAGGTTTGAAGTCTGCAATCAGGTGGTTTAATAATTAAATCAGTAACAAGCTAATTTACAAGAGTGTGATTGAGATATCAATGGTCCTAGTTATCTGCATTTTTATATTTCTGCACCAATTCTAAGTATACATATATTAAAAAAAATCTTTATATCCCAGTTTTTATTTTTTACACATGCTCAAATTGGCTGATAGTTTTTTGTGCCTTTGTATATTTTCTCATTATCAACTTTCATAAAGAAGAATAAACTCCACCATCACGATGATGAGGATTGGAAAAGAGCTGAAATGGTTCCCATCTTCAAGAAAAGAAAGGAAAAAGAAACAGATCCAGGAAACTACAGACCAATCAGCCTAACATTAATACCTGGGAAGATACTAGAATAAATAATCAAAAAGCAGATCTGTAAACATCTAGAAACAAATAAAGTTATAACTATTAGCCAGCACAGGTTTGTTAAAAATAGATCATGACAAACTAATCTTATTTCATTATTTGACAACGTGACTAAATTAGTAACCCAGCAAAATGCTATGGACGTAGTACACTTAGACTTCAGCAAGACATTTGACAAAGTAGACCACAATCTACTTCTTGGTAAACTTGAAAAATGTGGGATAGACAGCATCACCACCAGATGGATGTGTAACTGGCTGACAAACCATATAAAACAAGTTGTCCTTAATGGTACTACATCTACATGGAAGGAAGGAAGCAGTGGATACTAGAAGGTTCCATCTTGGGCTCAGTACTCTTCAATGTCTTCATAAATAACTTAAATGGGAGAATAGAAGAGGAACTCATCAAATTTGCAGATGACGCTAAGCTGGCAGGAATAGCTAACACCCCAGAAGACAAGCTCAGGATCCAAATAGATCTTGACAGACTTGAACAATGGGCCCTATCCAACAATATGAATTTTAATGTGGAGAAAAGCAAAGCAGGAAAAACCAAAGGTACAAGTACA